ATGGGCTTATGAATTATTAATGAGTTTTTGAAGGAACACATAAATATTACTTCGACTGCGTTCTCAATCCACAATGATAAGTTTGAAAAAAAGTTATTATTTATGGACAAAAGTCTTATGAGGATAGGGGATGCCCTTTTCGATCAGCAAATTTTACAGTTGTATGAATATTCCTTCCGAGGATACGAAGACCTCAGAGCTTTAAAAGAGGACTGAAATCTTCATTATTGCTACGAGCCAATTGGTCTTAATTGTTGAATAAAAATTAAAATAAAGCTATCGATCTACAGTCTGGGAAAACCAAACGAAACAAACACTAGGTATAGCGGTATCGATACATTCCTGCGTTGTCTCATTCTTGATCACGTATTTCATGGTAATGTTTTATGAATTTATCTCGCTATCTAACAGTTCACATAGACTTTAAGGAGTACAAGGCTAAATATAATTTCGAAAAATGATAGCTAAGCATAGGTGCTCTGATATTCGGGTGGATGATGGCCCCCAGTCGTTCGGTAAGCAGCCATTTTAGTATTTACGGGTTGACTGCACATATTTATTAGTATATGATCGTAATGATTCCATGCAGAAGCTACGGTTGTCCGTTTAGACTTCCGTGAGTTTGTGTTCAGTGTTGATATTTCGATTGAATTTTACTTCATTATAATCTTAAACCATTCTTAATATTACGCAAAATAAAAATGGATAAATTTGCTTTAAAGCAGCAAAAAAGCCAAACAATGTGCACTCCAACAGCCTAGATTAACATATAGTCGGATAATTTACCATATTCTGCACAAATATCTGTGATGTCTGAACTAAAAAAGTGTCGCTGTGATCACATACCTCTCCAATCTTTCGCGACGAAGTCCCTTCCAACCCGTTTAAATGTTCACGAAGTTTGTTCTTCATCTCATCTAGTGTTTTTAAGCCTTCCGTTGAAAGACCAAAAGACTGAATTAATTGGAAAGCTTTTGCTATATCGTCTATGGCATCCACTTTCTCCAGCCCCGTAGACATCATGCGTTTTTGACAAAATTCTCGAGAAGTCACGTTAACAGTAGTGTATCTTTTCAAATAGCGTTAGATAATACCAAATGCAAGTTACTTCTTTTGGAGCAACTTCAGAATACCCCGCAACTCATTTACATGTCATTGAATACGAATAGCGTCTATTGTGTTATGCCTCGATCTTCAAAGCCTCCCGACACATGTAAGTGAGGCGGACCAAAGTGGCGGAGTATTCCGAAGTTTAGCCCTTCTTTTAAAACCACTCGTAATGCTGCATTCCTCAAATCCTAGTTATCCATTTACCAGCCTATAGAGGTACTCAACGTTGCGGTGCCACTAACAAATCCTTTTCATGGCCACAAAACTGTACACGATCACTTGATCTGTTAACAGACCATAATACTCTTCTCAGACAGTTGGCGCTCTGAAATTCAACGGTGAATCCATCTTGAGCATCCCATTAGACGCTCAAAAAGTCCCTGTGCAATGCATTTATGAAATAAGTACAACAGGCAGCAATTCAGAATTCAGTTTGCAAAGAGCATAATACATATACCGCGTCACGATCGTTCAAAAGAATCAATTGTTAGCATGAATCATCAGGCTACACCTTCATGTATGCGTCATTTTC